TACAATTCACTTTATGCATGCATTGTGGTCTTGCCAAACCCACCGTAACTGCCCCCCGCCCCCCAAACCCCAAATATCAAAAACCAATTTTTCCCCTATACATGTTGGTCGAACTCTCCCTGAATTCTGGTGACCTGTCCACCGCGGACAGATGTCTAAAAAGACACCGTTATGACGACATCATAATGGGATTTTATGGCAAGGCATTTGATAATGGTTTGCAGGCCAAGGCGGCAGGTTCCAAGCCTATCTTATTTCCAGCCAATCAGAATTTAGGGCGTTCCGGACTATATCATTCTTAGGGGCGCTTTTCCATGTGCTCGCCCCCTTTCGATCTCTCACCATCACGTTGTTCACATCGCTGGTTTGAACCAATTTTCAGCATTTTCCACCACCTCCCCTTCCGCCTGCTTGCGAATTAATTCCTAGTGTGTTCTCTTTCTTGTCTTAGTGGGTGGCGGTTTTTTCCCCCACCTTTGCTGAAGAGACATTTAGTTTTTTTTTTTTGCAGATCTTGAAAATAAAGTTCGTCACCTTTGGTGGCCAAATTTTCTCCAACCAAATCCGACTCTGTGTTTATGCACCAGTCATTTGAAACCCCCGGACCCCCCCCCTCGGGCATTAGCGGGGCATTCACTTTTTATGCATGTGAGAGCCAGTGAACTCCCCGGTCCCTGGGGCAAAAGTGAATGGTGAACTCCCCCGCCCCCATATGTCCAACATACAAGGTACTCCCTTTCAAACGTCAACTAGTAGCAAGAGATGACATATAGGATGACAGCCGTGAAATTAACAACTTGCTTTCGCAGCAGCAATGGCAACACTTGCAACCCCTCGATAGACAAGAAAAGACAAGTATTTAAAGATTTCAGCGTCATCTTTCTATTTTACATCTTGATGTCACAAAAAGCAAGATCACAAAATTATAAATTATACCTATCGAATTTTACCAACCAAATGCAAAAAGCCCTATAAAAGAATGCGTAGGAAGCACGAAGTTGTATGGATCGAATTTCGCGTTGGCTGATCTGGCACGTGACTGAAAGCATGCGTGATCGGAATATAAAAACTTTTCATAAACCCCTTTTCATAGCTTTTTGGTCAATGTATCGAAATCCAAACAGAAGGGAAGTTATAGAAAAGTTATGCTCACTTTGATATCAAGCCAAAGAGCGCAAAAAAATGCATAGTTTAAGCTTTAAGTGTCGTTTCTAGCTGTCGATAGGTCAAGCCAGGTCAAGTGTTTATGAAGAATTCGCGAATAAGATGGTATCGGTGCATTAGATGCATTTTAAAGCATATTATAATTACAAATCTACATAATATCAGTGAAAATATGCCTACCTTTGTTCACCAAACTCTTCAAGTCATCGGCTATGACCGCTTTTTTTACGCCTCGATATTTAACTTTGCAAAACATCGTCACGGTACGAAGCGATGAAAATGTATGCGGAATCATGCGGAATTAGTATGCGGCGCGAAAATGAAAACCGCTGACCATAAAGTCACTGTCCCGCTTATCCACCGGTCCGGGAGGAAAAGACCGTGACTTTTAGCGTATCCCCCGACTACCGGGGAACCAATATTTGGTGAACATGAAGTCAATGTTCCCGCAATACCACGGTCATCCCCGAGGAAGGGGGGGGGGGGTCCGGGGGTTTCAAATGACTGGTGCATTATCTCCTCAGCAAACAAGTGCGCCGCCACGCAGAGCCCTTGGTCACGCAATGCAAGGTTTTCAGCGTCCTTCTTACCGAAAAAATGGCTTGATATAAAAAGGTTTTATGTTTCTTTCTTTCTTTTTCTTTTTCTGTTTTTGTTTTTGTTTGAGGATTTTATTTATCCTCTTGCACATGGCTGATTCAGAGAACAGGAAGATTGATCAACTTTAGTATTTAATTTCTGGAAAGTTAAGTAATTCAGCAGTATACTGGTTAAATACAAGAATTAAAACAGTAAAAAATATAAATAAAAAAACTGCGGAGTTGAAGTACACTCAACAAATTTCTTCCTATGCTGTTATTCCAAAAGTTCAAGCCAACAATAAAATTGAGCCAGAAGACCTGATCAAGACGATAATATTGAAATTATCAGGTAGGGAAATCTTGTTCCTAGAAGCGGCGATCGTTTTGGTCAGTACCAAGGATCCTTTATGTCCGTTGAGCGTTTCGCAGGACAAGGGTAATGAAGGCTCTGGGGACGGTTTAAGAAGGAACTGAACTGAGTGTACCAACAGCCCAACCTCACACCACCTTACAAGAGGACAGGCCCGCCAACCGTTTCGCCTGGAATTTGCTCTACGAGACTTACTCTCTTTCGTTGCTTTGACTGTAGCTGGGCCATGTTGATTTCCGTCGGCCAGATTGTATGTTGGGCTGCCATTACTACAAACCTAAGTATTATAAATCAAATATTCACTGACAATGCCTATATATATTTGACGCTTTTTTTTTAACTACGTCTAACCTAATAGGTTTTCAGTGTAAAAATAAAATCCTTGTAATACAGTCAGACCCTTTGTGAGAGACCAATTAAAATACAAACCCGAAATATCCGTTAGTCTTGACTATGGATCGATATTATCATTTTAATATATCAAGTTCTGCGCACCCCCCCCCTCCCCCCTACGTCTCTCTCTCTGTCAAGCAACCCCGAGGAGAGAAGGACCCTATCTCTCCGACCTTGCATGACAGAGACTCGGAACGAGAGACACGCAGAGGGGCAGAACTGGTGTAAGGCAACCCTATACAAGAAGTCTCAACTTAACAGTACTCGATAAATGTAACGCCGCATAGCACTTATGACAATAATGATTCAAATCTGCAAACACTTGTGTTCTGGGATGAGGGCAAACAACCGTTGGCGACGAAACAAAGAGCTTTGACTTTTACCCAATTCTGAAAGACGTGGCAAGAACCATTATTAGTGAGCTGTGCTTGGTTTATCTGCGGGCAGATAGCTCATGACAAGTTCAGGTTTAACCTTTATAATTCTTCAGGAACGTTAAAAGCTGCCTGTAAACAGTTGCTTGTTCACTCCTTACGGTGACCAATGCAATTTACAATACTAATATTTTGTGTACAGCAAATGTAAAAAAATTCACCTTTCACTGCTCCAACATAGGAAAGCATATCCTTAAAATAAATGCAAAAAGGAGAAAAACTAACATACCTCGGAAGAAGAGCAAGCACTGCACTTAACGCATAGACGGACCAGAACTCCACCGTTGCCATGGTAACAAATGGTACGTAGTACATATCCCAGAAGATGTTTGCCATGGCGCCATATAAGGCGAACCACAAAAAAGAAAAAATTATGCTGCCCCAAAAAATCAAATGATGGAGGATAGTCTGCAAAGAAACGAGTAAACTTGATTTGCTCTCACGCTCAAGACATTTGTGATTATTTCATCTTCCTCAATCACTAACGAGTTTTTACGTTTGTTTCTTTGTCTTGTTTTTTATTAAAAATCATTGGATAATGCAATTCTAGCGTTTTGATTGGCTTAGCTATCATGGTATATGCGGTTGGTACGAACCAAACGGAATGTTGCTTATCATTAACCAATTTCTCGGTTCCTTCTTTGGTTCCAGACTCAGGCTACACAAATTCGCCCTTTTTTGGATTCAAACCGTAACGGATGTGGCATTTCTACGGTAAACTGGTAAATCGCTTACCATTATGCTTTCGACACCCCAACCGGATTTTTCTGTCAAATGGTAAGCACCCCATGTCATCTTCAAAATCACCGGTCTGGCCGGCTAGTTTTGACTTCAGGTGATTGACATGAGTGAATATTTTTTGGTCTGTAGAGGGTTTCTTTTTTGAGGGACCGGAGCGTGCTCTTTCGAGAATTCGTCGTATTTTCGTTGCAATATTTCTTATACAAAGGTAAAGACAAAAAGGTCAAGTAGACATTTTTCGTACAGTCGACTCCCGATAACTCGAGCCCTTCACTATAAACTCGAGCCTCGCATTAACTCGAACCGAAATCGATTTCCCCTGGATTTCCGTCATACATTTACTGTAATTTTACCCTCGGAAACTCGAACCCTCGACAACTCGAACCTCCCGCTAACTCGAAGTAGTTTTTGTTTCCTTTCAGATCATTTCTATATAAACTTACCCTCAATAAGTCGAATCATGCTTTTTAGCGCCTCTTCGATCACATGACCCCGGTTGACAGCGCTGGCCCGGTTTCCTAGATCTCTCCTTACCTCTGCGCTGCATCCTTTGTAAAATTTTCATGTGTTCACATGAGAGGGTGGTCTGGCTCGGTTCTCGGGATCTCGGTAAGCGGGCTGAAAATTTTACCAATTTAATTTGAAAATTGACGCTGTTGTTTTAAGAGTCTTAACCGACGTTTCGGCAATGCTGCCTTCTTCAGGGTACAAGACTAAATACCGTTAAAAAGTTTGTCAAAATTAGCTCACGTGCCTGATTGCATACTCGCGCGCGTGCCACATGAAATAGCGTGAGTAAGCGAAAAAAGAGTGAGCAATCAGGCACGTGAGCTAATTGTAACGAACGCTTTAACCGGATTGCATCGTCTTGCGTTGCCTGCTGTATTTTCCACATCATAAGCATCCCATTTAACTGCAGTGATACAGCTATGAGAGTTGCCAAAGCTATGACAGACACGAAAGTTATGATTTTTGTGCTTCGCCACGTTTGATTTCTTTCTCGCATTTCGCGCCAGAAATCCTCGCTCTGCCTTTTCTCATCTCGGAAACCGGGCTGAAATTTGTCATATGAACTCAAGGCGAAATTTCGGGAAATTGGTCCCGGTAATCGGGCCAGGAGCCCGTTTCCCGAAAGTCCCGATGATTAACGGGCCCGGTGAGCCGTTTCCGTTTATATTAAAGATCGAGGTTTCAAAAGTTTTGCATCTAACATGATAAAACTATCAGTTAGTGAAACAAAATGGAGTAGTTTGTTAGCCAGGACCCGAGCTCTTATTTCGATTTATATTTCGATTATATTTCGATTATATTTCGATTATATTTCGATTATATTTCGATTTGAATATTTGATTTGGGGCCCGAAAAGTTACCGGGACTTTCGAGAAACGACCGCCAGCCCTGTTAACCGAGCTCCTGTGAAGAGGTCCTTAATCGCCCGACAAGTCGTAAAAAAGTGTACAGCAGTCCGAAACATTGAAACTATTTTAGCAACCATGTATTCTTTGTCTTTACTTTTTTGTCGGTCCAGTTTAAATACAGTGTCTAGCGCTGTGTATTTGTAAAATTTGACGTGTGCATGTTACTTGCATTCATTCCCCGTACCATTTTCTTAGTTTCCGGTTATTTGCTTCAAATTCCCGATAACTCGAACTCCCGCTAACTAGACCTTTTCGATTTCCCTACTAAGGTTCGATTTATCGGGAGCCGACTGTGCTGAGATTTAAAAATCTTTCAACACTCTTATTACATGGAGTTGTTACAAGGGAGACGGTCACTACGTAGCCAATGGTCTACCTGGCAACAAACAGGAGTCTATCCCATAATTATCCTTTATTTTGTTCTAAACCAAGAACTTTGCTAAATTTAAAATTTATTTATTAAATCTGCTTTATGTATGTGATAAATTCGTCTTTTTATATCGTAAATTTTAGATCTAGTAGAAACTAATTAACAACTATTCCTCAAGCCCGAATGGGCTCTGAGTCAATAGCCCATTCGGGCAATGAGGGCGAGAGAAAAAATTGTTTTAGTAAAATCCAAATAGTTGGTCAAAAACATCGAGAATGAAAAAGTTTTAGCTACTTAAAGCTAGACTTTAATCCTTTTTGCCGCCAAAAAGCCGGCGCTTTTCGCTACTATTCACTCATATAGCCTAGTAGTAGTTCAACCAATCAGAACGCAGCATTGATAATAGACCACTAGTTGGATTTTACTAAAACATAATAGTCTATACTACCTAACCGTCTATAGTACCTCGTAGCGATCAAACGAAATATCCTACTGAATCAACTTATTTGACTATCATTTGTTACATTGTATTAATTAGTTCTGCTTCATCTTTTCCCGGTAATGTAGGAGCTGCTCGTAAGGTCTTTCCTGATTCGTTCCTTTAAACAATGGTAATTCATTGTTTACCATTGTCCAAGCAGCTGCTACTCTTCTCTTTACCCTTTTTAGAGTGATCAACATCAATTTTCGCCAAATTATATCAATAAATTATCAAGAGAATAGGTTAGGAGAATTAAAACATTGATGACCAATTATTAAAAGACGAAAGTACTTAGATCTTTTGTCAAAATTCTCATAACATATTTTTTAAGGAAATGTATATATGGGGACTGGCGTGGAGAATTTGCAAGTATATATTGGGGCTTAAAAGTCATCGACCTTATTCCCAGGGTCTCTCTTATTCCAAGCCCGTGGAGAGAGAACTTATTAAAGAAATTATAAAAGAAGCTGTCCTCGACTATCGACGGCTGGAAAGTAGGAAAAAAAGCAACTTGAAAAAAATGAAGTTAAAATCTTCAAGTTCTATACTCATTCCTTTCAATATCGAGTAAATGAGCGTGCATTATTCTCCTTTGTACATGTACTGTAGGATTGACAAAGGCACTGTAACTGCCCTGTCTACCCCCTACCCGCCAAAATGTCAAAAACCATGAGATCTCACTATTATCGTGACCGGTCCATCACGGACCAACACCTTAAATTGTTTCTTTTCTTTTTTTTTTAGGAATTTATCTATCTTCTTACTACATGCCTGGTTCCACGAAGGAAAAGATTGATCACCTTTAGTATTCAACTTCTAATATCAGACTAAGACCGTAAAAAAATATATATAATAATAAATAAAACTGTGGCTTTTAAGTAGCTTGTACAAATGTCTGCTTTATGCAGTCCTTTCATAATTTCGAGCCACAAATTAAATGAGCAGAAGGCCGAGTCAAGGCGATGATCCTAAAGTAATCAGGGAGGAAAATGCTGTTCCTAGAGCCGGTGATCCTTTTGGTCAGCATCAATAATCCTTAACGCTGGACAAGGGTAACGAAGGCTCTGGAAACGAGATTGAGAGGGGACTGAGTGTATCGACACCCCACCCTCAGACCGCCCTACAAGAGCACAGACTCGCCAACTGTTTCGCCTGGAATCTGCTCCACGAGACTTGCTCTCTTACGCTGCTTTGACTGTAGCTGGGCGATGTTGATTTCTGTCGGCCAGATTGTATGTTGGGTTGCCATTATTACGAACCTAAGTATTAAAAATGAAATATTCACTGACAACGCCTACACATATCTGACGATATTTATTTACATCGAACCTTCAGCGTGAAAATGAAATCCTTGAAATACAGTGTGAACCTTTGTAACAGACCAATTTAAAGACAAAGCCGATGTATCAGTTAGTCTTAATAAGCTCCGGTCCCTCTCCGTCTGTGACGTAACGCCGAGGAGAGAAGGACCCTCTCTCACAGGCGTTGCGTGACAGCAGAACAAGAGACACGGAAGAGGGCAAGAACTGGGGTACGGTAATCCTAAACAAGAGGTCCCAACTTCACAGTACTCAATAAATGTAACGCCGCGTTGGGCATAGCATTTATGAGAATAATGTTTCAAACTGCAAACAAATGGTCTTCTGGGATGAGGGCAAACAACCGAACGCGAAGTCTCAAGAACTTTGACTTTAACCTAATTCTGTGGGATATACAAGAAATTTTAGGAGCGTAACAAATATCTGGCAGCGACCATCATTAGTGAGCTGTGCTTGGGTTATCTGCGGGCAGATCGTAATCATGGTAGGGTTAACCTCTTTATAATTCTTCAGGAACGTTAAAAGCTGCCTGTAAACAGAGAATTAGTCGCTTTTTCACTCCTTACGGTGACCAATGCAATTTACAATAACAATTTTTTATAAACAGCAAATGTATAAGAATTTATCTTCCACTGCTCCAACATAGGAAAGCATATCCTTAAAATAAATGCAAAAAGGAGAAAAACTAACATACCTCGGAAGAAGAGCAAGCACTGAACTTAATACACAGACGGACCAGAATTCCACCGTTGCCATGGTAACAAATGGTACGTAGTACATATCCCAGAAGATGTTTTCTATGGCACCATATAAGACGAACCACAAAAAAGACAAAATTATACTGCCCCACAAAATCAAGTGATGGAGGAAAGTCTGCAAAGAAACGAGTAAACTTGATTTGCTCTCACGCTCAAGACATTTGTGATTATTTAATCTTCCTCATTCACTAACGAGTTTTTATGTTTGTTTGTTTGTCTTATTTTTTACTAAAAAGTGAATCGTTGGATAATACAATTCTAGCGTTTTGATTGGCTTAGCCATCATGGTATATGAGCCATTAAAACCATGCTCTCCATATATGGTCGGTGTACGCGTCAGTTCAAAATTGGAAGCTAGCTGAGATTTTTTTTTTCTATATCACGCACTACGACTTACATACAGGCCGACTGCACCAATTTCATGGGTTTTGAAACCACCCAGCTAAAGTAAAGGCCCGGGTCCATCCCCCTCCTAGTGCCAGGCCTTCCCCGCACATATGAGTTTTTACGTGAACTCATGACGTAACTTCGCGGCGACACACAACTCGTTCCCAGGCCCTTAGTCACACTTCACACTTGTTCGAGAAAGAAGAAGTGGCTTTGTTGGGAACTATCACTAGTTAACTCACTTGCCTGTTCCAGGCTCCAAGATAGTGAGGAAAGCGGATCGAAAAAAGGTGCCCAAAACTTGTGTAGGAGCTGGAGAGAGACGGAGGACTGTTCCCACCGATTTTTCTCTCGTCCGCTATTTCATTGTTCGCTCGCTTTATTCGCCCGTCCGCACTGACCGAGAGCCTGGCCAAGATTATTCACTCACCCACTGTGCTGTTATAAGGGCCAAATACAAATTAGCGACGAGGACTGAACTCTGGTGAAGGGTCACTCCAACCATTCGCAAATCTGCTGCGGTACCGTTGTAGACCTTAAACGACAAAGAGAAAAAATGAAAAAAAAAAAAGTAAAGCATAATCTATTATAGGATTTCGCTTAAGTCAAATAGCTTTTCTGATAGTCAAAAAGCCGTTAACGAACAAAAGCAAAAGCTTGCGAAATTAATGAAAATGACGCCACCCGCCATTTCGTCTTTCCTTTGCTAATCTAAAAACTGGGCCAATCATTAACTACATTAACCACAGTTTTGATAAAACAGAACAAGAACAAGAGTATCCTAGTAATAGCAAAGGTTACTTGTAACGTGTACTATAAAGCAAAAGAGTCGTCCTGTGACTCCACCAACACTCCTTACCCAAAACGCGACATAAAACACCACCAAGCTTTCATAAAAGGCATCTAAAATGGTCAACCAAAACCACTTCCTTGAGTACAGCTAAAGAGAGTGGAAGGAAAATCATCAATTACTGTGATTGTGCCAATCAAAAGACAGCTAGAGTTAGGTTTTCAGTCTATAAAACGCGAATTATACAAGTTTGAACATCGTTCGAGCTCTAATGCTCAACAAACAGTGGGTGATATCGCAGCTTGCTGAATTAATAAATGATAACAGTATTCCACTGATTCGTATATAACCTTTGAGTACCTGTAAAGGTTCAAAAGCTGCAAATTTTTATTGAACAATGTTTAACACATTGAAAGGCCTCGCGCGTATCAAAGCAAACGACTGGAAACAAACGAAGTACTAGCCATCATGGGAGGCCGTCCCGCCGTTCTTTGCTAGCGCCGAATAAATGGCGAGAGAAACGTATGGGTACGAGGCAATTGAAAGTTCACGTTCAGCGTTCAACATTGGACCATACATTGGCGTTCAACCAGAGCTGCAAATCAACACTGATATATTTATTATTCTTTAGGGCGCAGCAAACAACGCGTAATTTTGTTAAAGGGGTTGTGTTACGGCTGTCCAGGCAACCAGTTCTAAAAATATTGCCAATTACATGTCCTTATTCGCAATGGAACTTATCCTTAGCAAAGAAAAATAACTGGCAAATGACAAGATCACTGTCTCATGTCAAACAAACGTCTCCCAAGCATTATATCAAACGTAACAGACAAAAAGAATGAACTATAAAAAACTTTTACGTTAAAAAGTTTTAAAAACCTCAATTTAATCCGTTTCAATCTTCTTAGAATCTGTCCATCCGTGCCTTGACCTTTTGTAAAGGCTGTGTTATGTACACCTTGTTTAAACGTTTTGAGATGTTATTTTTATGTTTCGCCCAATATGGTGGCAGTCTGACTGTTTGAATTTTGATAAATTTCGTTACACAGCTCCTTTAACAACTCTGAAATAGTATTGTAACACAGACTGACCAACCTTACTGTTCTGTCCGGTTTTATAAAGATCAGGATTTGCTGTAAGTATAGGATCAGGGACATCTTTATCAAGTATCGCACAGATGACAGGGGGCACCGAGGTGAACAGAAGGTTGAAGAAAATGAGAGAGATGTCATCAATAGCGTTCGAGCCTGAGAAGCCATTGTACAGTTGGAACCAGAACAAAACTAACACAAACATCTGAAAGGCAAACAACAAAGTTCTAGGTAACTTATGACTGACGAGTAACCTCTCTTCTTCTTTGTATGAAAGAGCCTAGGGTATTTATTTATTTACTTACTTGAGATCATTTCGTATGCTGCTCGCGAGAGACTTCTCGCGACTGCCCCAAATTGAGAGCTTGCTCGCAGGCTATGTAAAATGGGTAGTAAACACAAGCAAAGGTACTGAATTGTCCCTAAACTCTGCACAGTGTTCGGGAATTTTCCATCGCAGGGTCAAGTGAGTGCTTTGCAGTGGCCCCATTTGCAAGCCGACTACCTGACGACTGCAGGGTAAGCAGACGCTACATTAGCTACTTTTCGCACGCCAGTACACACCACGAGAATGTAGCCTCTGCTCAAAGGGTACCTGACGACAGGCAAGCCCATCAAGAGCCACGCAGTTACAACCGCTGTAAAACGATCGTACAATCTCTTCACTTTAAATCTTAGCCTGTGCCCCAGACAGGTTAGTAACGTCTGCAAAGCAGCGCCAAGATCCTCGCTCTGGGCTCCCAAAGAATTTGATGAATTATCGGAAGTGAATTTTAAACTGACTGGAAAATCGACAATGGCTACTTTAACGAGTGGCCAATCATGGTACGTACCCAAATCTTGGTAAAATGGGGGGAACCAGAATAGGAATTCCGGCACTGTTTCGCAGACGGACTTTACCATAGTTTAGTTTCGTTATGGCGCAGGCTACCTAAATCTGAAATCAGTCAAAATTAAAGGAAAATGTGGCTCAAAATGTCATTGTGTCAAATACCGAAAAAATAACTTGCACCACGCGAAATTTTTGCCACATAGGTTTCAATTCAGTGGTTTTAATTCATAGTATTTCGTACACAGACTAAGAAGCTTCAATGCATCATAAGCGCCCGAGATGTTCAAAAAGTAGATAGCACTATTCATTGGATAAATTCCTATCCAGTGGACAAAGCAGTTGGTTTTCCTAATACTTATCCACTGCATAGTGATTTACACCGTTGACAGCGCGATATAAAGTTTTTACAACCTAGGGCAGGTGTTTACATTATGAGTGAAAGGGTTTAGGCCATTTCCTTTCGGTTTCGTTACAGAACACCCTCTCTGCAGAGCCTTTTTATTGGCTTACTTCAGAAAGAGTCTCCTTGAGACTGCTTGAATCAAGTAAGATTTTTGAGCATGCGCTGCATGTTTCTAGGATTCAGTTTCAAACCCAGGCCTAATGGCCGTGTACTTGGTACAGCGGGCTCAGTTATGACCATCAGTTTATCAATAAACGGATGCTTTCACTCGTAACTAGGGGTAACAACCATATTAACGAGAGAAAACAGTTCAGAAGTTCGAGCTACGACGACCTGAAAGGCTTGTCGCGATTCTTCTCCTCTTGAAGAAGATAACAAGAGGCTCTAGGGTGCTTGCAAAATAAACTGCTTCATTGTTTCTTTGATTATAACAATCACTTACTGCATTTTTGAAGAAGAAATACAAGAACATCTTGGTGATGCGGTCATAGCACCAATGCCCATGAACCAATAGGAGACGAGATAGGAATTTAAATCGACCAATAGCGAAGTCGCTTGCCATGACTGCCTGCATACCCTCTTGCCCAGAAATACCAATGCCTACGTCAGCCGTTTGAATCATGCTTACGTCATTAGCTCCGTCACCGATGGCTAAAGTCATTGTCTTCAGACCACTTCTGACCAGCTGAACGACTGCAGACTGATAGAGATTGATTAATTAGATGCAAGTGAAAATTTCTCTTACTTTTTTTCTGGGGAGGGAAGAGATTAGCTACACTAGTAACTACGAATCCTTTGGGTAAACGTCGCAAGATAATAGGAGTTGGCACAATTACGTGACGAGAGTCACGTCGTTTCGCCTGACTCGTCCTCATTCGTCTTTGTAACACGCACGGCGGCGGAAGTAGGGGGAGAGGTAACAGAAAGCTGGGGGCGAGTCTAAAAATTTACTAAGGAAATTACAAAAATTCAAGATAATAAAAAGTGAAGGGAGGATTGTTCCAAAGGGCAGTCGTGCAAAAGTGCGACCATCGTAGTTCTTTGTCCTAAACAGTAGTCTGTGTAGTCGCAGATTGTCATTCACATTCAAACCGAAACTCCGAATTGGTTGAAGAGTTGATGAACAATGATGACAGATAACCACGATCGAAAAAAAAGTTACGAAGTGAGGTCAACATCTGATTTAATAACAGCTAAAACTGTTTTCAAACTCACCTTCTGTGAGGGTGTAGCCCTACAACACAGGACAACCTGACAGCGCCGTGCTAAATCCAAGAACTTCGCATTCAAAGGATCCTCTAATGCATACATCAATGTCCGTCCATCAATCACTACACCTAAAGGCTGACTGTTTGTCGTCGGTGAACTAATATGTCCTGACACAGTATTGGAGGAATTGTCGCTACTTATGCTAAGAACTTCGGATTGAAGGTGGCCCAGCCAAGAGGTGATTTGATCTTCGCATTCACCCTAAGCTCGAAAGAAGAATAAAACAAGGAAATGTAAGGTGATAGAAGTAGAACGACGTATAGATAATCATATGATAACTGTGCCGTATGTAAATGTACCACGTACCGTAAGTGCCCCCCCCCCCCCCCCCACCCCACCCCATTAAAACCCCCTTCCAAACATATTAAAAAAAATTCAATTTTTTTGGACTTTTTGAGCCTGAAAAAAAAATAATACAATTAAATTCAAAACAAATTTTGCGGATCACCATTCTCATACAGTAAAATTCCGAAAATAAGCCCCCTCAAAAAAATCCCACTCCAAAACAAACACACCCCACCCTTAATCCCTCCGTTAAATTGCCGCTCCAAATGTAAGCCCCCCCCCCCCCCAGGGGGCTTGTACTTGGAAATTGCCCTCAAATACAAAGTAAAAAACAGCAAAAACGGTATATTTCCTTCCAACTATAAGGCTAGCCCAATCGATTTTGTAACACAAATTTCCCTCCGTAGATAAGCCTCACCGAATATAAGCCCCTCCAAAAATAAGCCCCCTTAAAAAGGGCCTTTGAAAAATATAAGCCCCGGGGCTTATTTTCGGAATTTTACGGTAGCTTGTTTCGAAGAGCTTTTTCTAAAAGCCCCTCCGTTTATACGCTCTCCTGAAACCCCTTACGATGATGTTTACATCAGTTTACGGTATGCATGTCCAACTGAGAAGCAAAAATACCTTGCGCCGGAAGTACACACTACGTACAAGACATACCTTGGATTTTGCGTTCAGTATCACCTTCTGCATGTTGTTGTCCAACAGCTTACAGGAGTGAGCAATATTGACTGCTGTTTCCTAATAAGGACACATGTGGGCATGGATAAGTGAAAACATAACGCATCGAACGCAGGACGTAATGCTATAGTATAACTGCAGTTCTAAAATGTCTTTGTAATTACTTACGGGCAGGCTGTCCGGTAAATAACAATTTACGTATTTACGGTATTCCCGTTTGGACTAATTTTTGGTGAAGGGTAGGCTGCTTCAGTTTCAAGGCTACTGTGTGTATACGTTTAGTCTCTGGGACCGACCCTACTGTCGGATCTCTTTAATTGTGCGATTGCAAGTGTGAAATCCGGTCTTCTAAAACAAAACAGTTTCTTTTTGGAAGGAACAAGGCCAAGTAGTTTCATTACTGTAAACACTATGGACCTACTGTTTCTGTATACTGTTTCTATACTAATCCTACAGATTCAGGCCTCCATCGTGTAACCTGTCAAAGTTCTCTCGCCAAGTAATGAATGATATCAAGACAAGAGACCCTATCTGTTTCTCGTTCGTAAAGAAGTGGGCCGAGTTGTTCAAAGCTGGGTTAAGACAACCCAGGGTTAGTGCGAGATTTGAATTCATATTTGAAAGCTTAAAAAGCATTTCAGTTTTAATTCTTTTTGTCTACAAGTTGATGATTGGAAGCTCTGAAAATAACAGAGAAAATTAACAAAGAAAATGCTTTTGAATACAAGAAAAATAAGCCCAGATTAAATTTTACACCGGGTTTAGCGCCAATCAGCCTTCAAACAATTGGGCCCTGCACTTCAAGGCGTCTCTCGCGTAACCCAATAATGTTCTCACGACCCCTACACTTAGCAATGATCTAAGCTTAAATCTCTACCTGTTTGTCTCCAGTAAGGACCCACACTTTCAGGCCTCCCTCGCGTAGCCTAGCAATGGTCTCCGGAACACCATCTTGCAAACGATCCTCAATACCAGTAGCACCTACCAGCTCCATTTTACACTCCAGTTTATGGGCTGACTGGTGCAGCAATCTTTCTCTATCGTGGAGTGCTGTTTCCGCTTGTCGGTGCTGTTCTAGCCACTCTTCATAGTCACTGTCCGATAAATGCTGAAAACAGACAGTGATTTGTATCCAATCAATCTCTTCACAGCATTAAAATAAACAGTCCAAAACTGTGGCCAAAGAACTCACCCCTAAGCCCATTTTTAAATGTTATTTGTTGATAGAAAATCGAAGAAACGTCGCTCTTTCGTTTAAAAAGCTAGAAATATCTAACTAATTTTATTAGTCCATCAAGAGCCAGATCTCGTTGATAAAATGTTTGTTGGGGCCCTGAGTGAAAGCGAATGACGTTTCTGCTCCTTTCTGTGTTCGGTGTGGCCTGCTTCTGCAGATCCCATAGAAATTTCATGAATTTCGTACCTTAACTGAAAAAAGTTTAATCATTAAACAACTTTAGAAGTTCGTTGAGAAAAAGTGACTAGCATCCCGTTTACATCATCTGTATTTCTTAACTTCAGCAATCATATATAATAAAAAAACTGCACTTAAAAGGTTGGTATTCCGTTGTGTTTTGCTCACTTACACAGAACATTACTTACTCTTCTTGCCATACACAATGTCCTGAGCCCATCTCTGGCATAAAGATCCAAATGTTTTACAGTTTCCTCCACTAACGAGCCCCTGCTGCCTGATCTGGCACTCCCTCCTCCATCGCCCTCATCGACGTCATCAGGCACAAACTGCTGACTGGCTCGCTCCAGTTTTGGCAGAACGGCCGAGTCCGCTCCCTTACAGTACATTATAATACTACTATCATCTTGACGACGGACGACAACGGACATCCGCTTACGTGAAGAGTCAAACTGAAGCACGTGAAGCACTTCATATGTGACTTCGCCCTCTCCTGGTATAAACAACGTCACCTTCTCTGGACTACGCGACAGAAGCACATAGCCGTATAAACGCGCCGCTTTCACGAGCGCTGCCTCGTCAGGTGATTCGGCCTCGTAAATGATTTCACGGTTGGCAGCGTTGAGCGCACCTTCGTCCGCAGATTCTATCAAAGACGAACAACTCTTAGGTCTCTTTGATATACTCTCTAGGGACGGTTTAACTGGTGTTGCTGTCACTCCCAAATTATCCCACCCCGAGATTGCGCTACTTGAACCTGAACGCGTTGAACCATAGTCAGGACTTAAATAATTTTTTAGAGAGCCAGACTCGCCTAGATCTAAAGGAGCATGATTCTTATCAGGAGTACTAGGTAAATCTGTGTTATCTGTAGTCAGTTCTGGTGAATTTGGGTTGTTTTCTGTGTCTGATCTTCCCGTTGACACGACTACGGTATTGCAGATAGCAAGGAGAATGAAGAACTCTTTAAGATATGAGCTTCCTGGTCCACAGTAATACCCAACTCTGCTGGTTGAGTCTATTGCAGCTGCTAGCTCTTTATCCCAGTAGATTTCGTCTCCCTACAAAGAAGGAAAACAGCACTCAACCACTACATCTCGAAGAGCAGTACGGATTTTTTGCCTCAAGAATGTTCGTCGCCCGAAAAAAGACACAGACACGTCACAGACAAGATACGATTGCAAGACAAGTGTAAGGCATCCTTGCCATAAAACTACGCGCGTAAACAAGTACTCTAACTCTAGCCAATCATAAATGATGCAGGCAAACTAAGGAGTCAGTAGCCCGCGTGGCAGGCGCAAAAAAGGGAGGGGGCGGGGAAAAAAGCACGAAAGGGAAAAGGGAAGGGAACCAATTAGGAATTTGCGGACGCCAGCGTCCGCAGACGTGAACAAAGGGGGGTTATTACAGCAGGCGTCCCTAACCCTCTCGCCCCAATCTCCCTCCTTTTTTCCCTTCCTCCTAATCTTCTTCCTCTTTCGACGCCTTTTACGCAGGCTAAGGAGCCAATTAAAATTCGAGCAAATGCATGAAGCATACGCAAAGCGTAGGAAACGGATGCGTGCAGAGGCCTGTTTCTCGAAGGTCCCTGTAGCTAATAGGCCCGGAAAGCTTTTTTCTGTTTGCTGTATTTACATTCAAGATCACACTTGCAATAATTTTGTCAATAATACAATGAAACTATCAGGTTTGAGAGCTAGAACTGTGTTACCATTCAACAAGTTTTGATTTTAAAATTTGCACTCAGGCCCGAAAAGTTTCTGGGCCTTTCGAGAAACCGGGCCCCAGGTCAAGATTGGTTTTAATGTTAGTTTTGATTGGTTACGAAAGAGGGCGAAACACAACAGCAGTTGTACTTTATTTATGCTTTTTCGTAACTTATTTCTATCTTAGGTGAAAATGCTGGTTTTTCAAGGAGACAAGGTCAATACTTCATATTGCCTTGAAATCTGAACTTTAAACGGTTAAACCTAAGTTTTCGTACGGAAAACCAAAACGCAAGGTCAACTGGTCGAAAATTCGACCAATGCCGTGTGAGCGTAGGCTAAGAACTGGGAATTCTGTTATTGTTGTACACTGCCTCTGAGATAAAGCTTTTTTACCTTTGGTTCCTCGGAAATTTGCTGGTACATTTGATCAGCGGCTGATGAGTCTACAGTGTCTGCACCTATAGACAAAAATGATGCCAAAAAGTTTACAAATAGTGAAAGAAGCAACCCACAAACACAGACACAGAGACGTATTCACTGATTAGCTGAAGTTTGAACCATTCACCTTTCTTGGTAAGTTACAATTATCTTAGCAGCAAGTTAGGGACCCTGATCTGGAGAAAATCTCAAGCAGGACCAATTGTAGGAAATTCACTGAATAATCATAAGGACAACTCATTGCAGAAAATAGTCACTGAATAATGTAGACCCTTTTTGTTTATAACTCAAGGCCCTGTCATAAGCTAAAACGCTGGCAATGGCGATGCGAAAAACATTTTAAGACCTTGTTACACAATAATCAGCTTTGCAAAGTATTGCACTGTGTTACATATACAGATTCGATTTGATTGAGAACAGTTTTCCGTTCCTAATCGGCTAAGGCACCATCAATATAGGCCAGGAGACTAGATTTACGAAGGGATATTTAAAAATCACTGGGGAAACTCGTGTTTTATCATCGGTTTCATCTGGTACATGACGTACCGAAATCCTTGCCTAGTTCCTAGGCCTCACTATTGCGCGCGGCCGATGCGTTTCGGGTCACTCGGATACGTCAACGAAAGGCATTGACCGAGAAGGCCTGGGAAGACGCCGTACTGAAACCAGGCAACTGAATTTCCACACCATACATTACTTTACGTACCAAATTTATCCCTGTGATCAAAGTTTCGCCCACCGATAGTGCACCTCTTAAACACCATTTTGTTTTCTGTTAAAGTTCCTGTCTTGTCTGAGAAGACGTATTTGATTTGCCCCAGATCTTCATTAATATTCAATGCGCGGCAAAGGATGGGTTGATCCATTTCAGCATAATAAAGCTCCAGATCATTAGAGATGAAATAAACCTGGAATAACTTGACAACTTCCATGGATACATAGAGAGATATGGGTATCAAGACCTAATGAACAAGAAAATACTCAAATAAAATCATAGTTGATGCTCCAGTTTCGCACTCGTCGCGGCCGCTTAATAGAAGCACTGAAGGCTCACTTATAGGCTTATACACTATACGTCATCGCCGCCATGCTGGTGGACGGTAAACAAAAGATCGCTCATTAGCTCGCTTTGTTTGTCCACCAGCATTTGTTCATTTCAACATTGTTATTTGTGTCTCCCGAGATTGCATGAAAACCACCTACACAAGGTTAGCCTAGAACTAAAGTAAAATATTCACAAATACCGGCGAGAAGGTGCCTGAATTTGACTTTAAAACAACCCACACAGTTGTACACAGGTCTTCTTCTGACTGGAATTCATGTGTGAATATGGTTCAGTACTTCTACTCAGCGGCCACGACGAATTCGAAAACTGGACTATTGGAAATACAAACATCAACCACAAAGGACTGCAAAGGACCGCAAAACGAATACGCCGAAGAACGTAGGATATATATGGACCTGATCAGCAGAAATAACAAGAGGAAATTTTAAATTCTGCAAGCAGAATACTGCAATGCTGATCGTACTAAGTGAAAATTAACAAGACATCAACACGACACCGAAAGAACTCAAAACAGAGCGGGATTGTATTGAAAATACTTAAGGATGGTGGGGGCGGGGGGACTATGTCATGCTATTTGCTATCTTTTTCAAATGTCACGATGTCTTCGCATCAACAGAATAAAGAATAATGGTACAGTTTTGTTATTCAAGACTATATTTTGAAATCGTAGGCCCTAAAACTGTTTCCTGTCGTCTGTTGCTACGGATGGCGAGCACATGGATAGAAACTTGAAAAAGGTGGGGCAACATTTTCAAGTTCAAATGAAATGCCCGCGAAAATCACCAAAAAAATATTACGGTTAGCGCTATCTGCTAAAATTCACTTAACATCTTCACCATAACTCTACATGAGCATTTAGTGAATATAAAGGCACAAAAAAATGACTTCAGCATAGAGTTGACCCCGTTTAAGGTATCAAATAATACATCCTTGCTGTAGTTCTCTCTTCGGCCACGCCCAAGTGACTTCATTGAGTTTGTCAAACGCTAGCCTGAAATTGCATTTCATTCTGTGTACTCACTGGACCAGAAAATGAAAGGTCTATATTAAAAATATTTTTGAATCAGTACAAACCTGTAAAATGATAATAAAAGTCCAGAATCTGAGGAATGCCTCCATTAATGGTCCCCTTACAAATGGTTCATCAGGACCTTCAGAGCCAGGAGTGAAATGCCTGTTGAAAAAATCGTTGTTGTTCGTCCAGACACCACACCCTGAAAGATAAACCAGCATAAAGATAGATCCGTCAAAGCTTACAACCTTTAACCGCTTTCAGGGTACGTGCGTTCAATTGTCCGTAGTAAGGAATTAAGAATACGCAAAAGTTTTGATACCAGTGTGAAAAATCATGAGACCCAGGCCAGAACCGTTGAGTCCCAGTTCAAACAACAACGAGTCCGAAATTGAAAATGCTTGGGCCTTCATTTAACCAGACAGTTAATCTAAAGACAGGCTCAAAAACTCTGTATTACAGTATGCCGAAATTAAAATATAGTCCTTCTTTTTCAAGGCACAAAAAAGGCTAAATGAAATACGCATCGTTAAACAACAGCGATAATAACTGCCACAGAAATTACACGAACAGAATATTTCTACAAAAACTCAAGTTCAGCCTAATCGATCGATCTTTAAGCGTCCTTATTTTGTCATTCAAAAGTTAAAAATCTGCTTGAAATGAAATATTCCGGTGTATGTAGTGTTTAAGTAGCGAAAAAACCGGTACAAGAGATTTGCTACAAAACTTTTGCGCCTTCTTATTCCGGAATAATATCAATCGAACGCACCCAAAGATACAAAACTTAACACACCCCTTACAGTGTGAGACTGTTTTCGTATTGGGGGCTGCTATTACATGTACTTCTTCCATTGGCCATTTCGAGGTCGAGAAGGAAACGATTATTCCCCAAGGCAGTCCCACATGACAGCACAATGACTCTTATGCATGATTACGTAAGATGAGCAAATTTCACCACCAAGCCTCATTTGTAATACCCCGTGTTCCGGAGGTTATTTTTTTCTTATCTAACGGCCTAATAGTCTCGGAAGCTTTATGTGCAAGATTTCCGTATAACCCCATAAATTAATTATGCATACATTCATTGTTTAAAGAAAACAGAAGACAGAACAATACTATAAGCCTTTGGGAATTCATTCATGTAAAACTTTTGCAACTTTGCAATTTAAAAATGAGGCTTGGTGGAGAAATCTGCTCGTTTGACGTAAACGTGAATAAAGGCTATTCAACGAAACACTAACCCAGCTCAAAATAGCCAAATTAAGCTGTACCAAAAGCCCTAAGCTCTAAACCTTTTTTGTCTGCATTATGGATTGTCCGTATCATTAAATCTAAAAGTGTATTACTGGCACTGTTTTTTTTGTTTTCGTTTAAATAGAAATGAAATATTTACCGACTGCGCCAAGAAAGCAAAGAACAAAGAGGATGACGACACAAGCAATAACATCCATGTTGAGGTCTCTTTCAACCTTACTGCGTTTGTATCGTGGACCACTGTTATTCTTGAGAGCTTTTGTGTCATGGCCTGGAATATAATGAAATGTATTATATTACATGTAGTTACCGGTCAAGTGAATGTACATTACATTCAAGAACATTTTAGCAGGCAGAAGCTGTGACTGAAAGAGAAGGATGGCGCAGACAATCAACTAAACAACACCCAGACTCAAGTAGCTCGCCATGTGTAAGGCAATCCAGGGAACCCATGACAGTCTTGGATTCTCGATTCCACACCGTGGATTGGGGATTCCAGGTACCGGATTCCAGTTTTTGGTCAGTGGAACTCAGATTCCGGATTCTTTGAGCAAGATTTCAGATTCCAAAGCCCAGGATTCTGGATTCAACAAGCAAAATTTTCCGAAGTCTGGATTCCACAAGCAAAATTTTCCCAGAGTCTCTGGAATTTCCCGGATTTGGGGAATCTGGATTACATAACAATCTGGATTACATTGGGTGAAGCGGCCATCTAGAGTGGAATCTCGATTTTTGGAACAACCTTGAGAAAAGCAAACTGGTTTGAATTATCGGGAGGTCATATTGAAAACCCCAGGGGTAAAATTAATGTGTTTGACTGGTAAAGGGAAGTTATGTTTGGTCTGAATTATCAGGAATTTTGAAAAATCAAGGGTTAGAGAAATTGGGATTCAATTTTTCTGCAATGTACAGCTGTACCAAAGGACATGTTGAGGCATCTGAGAATTGCTTTTTATATGGCCTGTGTAGGCCAATTTTTAGGTTAGACAGCTGAAGTTCGTAACACTAACTAGATTCAACTTTCACAAACCATGAAAGATTAGTCATCACATGAACATGAACAAACTCTTCCTATCATTTAATTTGGAAACTGACCTGCATAGACAACCATTCCCTCCACCCAGTCAGTGTTGCGAATGACACAACCACGCAAGAGTAAATTGTTCTTGCCAACCGAAATCTCCCTTCCATTGTCATGAATCCTGACATAAAGACAGAGTATAGAAAAGTCAATATTCAAGAAGCATGCAGTTACTTTATTGACGAGATTGGTCTTCTTTCCTTTAATGTTTAATTACCAAACCTGTCAAGACTTAACAACGTAATTAGCCTGCAAGCAAGCTCTGCGAGGGGGGCCATGGGGTACCCCTGAGGGGCTTTGGGGTCAGGGGAGGAGAAGGAGAGAGAACTGAATGATTTTCTGTTGTTACCTAGCTCTGCAGTTGTGCTTTCCGGGCTTCGTTTGATCGAGGGAAATTTATTTTTCAGGAACATTTCAATGTTTGTTTACATTCAGCACTCATTTCCATTCCTGACTGTTTGACATAAATCTGACAGCTCAGCCGACAGTGAGCCACAGGGGGCACTGGAGGCAGAATTCAAATTCCTGAGATGTGACTGCAAGCTCTCTCTCCCGTTACTACCCTGCCCCAGAGGCCCCGCTTGCATGCTATGGGCAAAATAATACATTTCAAGTAGTTTGTGGAGCATAATCCCCTCTAGTCAGTCATACTCACCCCTAATATTATGCTGGCCAATATATACAGAGATTACTTTCTTGTGCAGTGCTTTTTGGACAGAAATGACTTTTATGCCACTTAATATACTTACAATGTACATGTAACCTTGGATGAGGTTTCCATAAAATGGGTTTTGAACCAGTGGTGGAAGAAAGATAAAAACTAGCTTGCTAGAGTTATGCAAGTTAGTGCACTAATTCACTAGTTACCAGGTCCAATATACACCTACAAACTCTGGATGGAGGCTTTTATAGTCATAGTGTTAAACAATTCATTCAAGTGTTTACAGAGCATGATTCTTACCTCTCTCCCCTCCACGATACCTGACACTAATAATAGCCTATGTAGCTGGCAGAATTGTTTTTCTGCACCTTAGCTGCAAGAAGCGAGCACCTCCCCATTCTCCTCATGGCTAGCAGCTCCTCTGCCAAAATTTTGCCTGCATTACGCACGCATACCACAACTTTACAATATACACATTGCACACCAACCGATAACCACTTTACACTACTACTTACTAATGTCAAGGACAATATTATTAAGACAAACTGGAGGACAGACAGGAAGCAGTATACAAGATCAAATGCTGCGACTGGCAGGCCACTTACATTGGTGAAACCAGAAGAAATCTTAGCACATGACTGATTGAACACAAATGAACAACAAGAAATGGAGATGTCGACTATCACGTTGCTGAACACCATTTACAGATGACGCATGAAATCAACTGGGATTCTGTGACATGTATTACGAAATCAATGACTCACTTTAGAAAGCTGGTTTACTAACTTAGGACAAACGCCACTAAATCTTAGTCAACAGTTACCAGCACCAAACAAACCTTTTTTTGACAGAACCAACCAGATCTAATTAGGAGAAAATGACTGGACAGCCAACAATTTGACTAACAATAAATGACTGTTTAACTGTGACATAGACAGATCAAAATGCATCAATGACATTACACGTCTTCATAGCCAATAACATCACGGCTTAACTGACAGATGACCAACAACATTGCGACTTAATAGACCAATCACAGGATGATAACAATCCCATCAACTGACCAGGCATGAGGCAATACAACTAACTTTGACTCTAAAGATGACTACCGCACTGGTTGTCAAACCGTCAGTCACTGTCAAAAACAGTCCTGTCTAGAACTACATTTACCCTACTGAATAGGTTTACTTACAATGTGCCATGGAACCTGTGTATGTGATGATCAGGCTCAGCGCACTTTAGTTCATAGGGGAATTCTCCTGGCAAAAATCTGGAATTATCCTGTCAAAACAAAGACAGCAGTGTATGGAAAGCATTCAAACAGTGATGTTGCATAGGATAATTAAGTAAACTCAGACTGCTTGTCAGGATGCTTATGACGGAAACTTCTAAAGCCATTTTTACAATCAGATTAAGTTTTTTTAATTACACTGAAACTATTTGGCAAGAATTTAAGACTGCTCTGAAATAAGGAGTTATAAAAGCTATGACCATGCATGGAATGAATAAACTTGCCAAACATTAAACTACTTTTATATTATAAGTTAATGACATATGGAATAATATTAGCTCAAAATCAGGAGGGATCAGCAAAGTGATTTTCAGAGTTATTATGTACGTGGTTTGACAGGAAGAATTTAAAGGAGGGTTTTTCCTCTGCCTCAGACCAAGTACGCAGCAGAAAAGGTCAATGAAACAAAAGGAAATTGACAGAAAAGCCTTTTACATTACCTTAGTATGCATATCATTAATAAAAATGGATTTTAATGTTTGTCTTTAAGGGCCCATGTAATGTTTTGAAACCTCCCTAACATTGTACAGTCTGATTCATAGGTTGGACATTAAATGTGCAGATCCAGAAAGCCTTTATAACACTTGGACCATAAAACACCATCCATTTATACCCATGGAAGCTCAATATCCTTATATAGGGGTCAGTTGGGGGAGTTCAAAGCAAAGATTCCCCCACCGGCCCCTGTCCCCCAAACTTTCTGCAGCACTGCAGATTTAAATATGACCACAGCTGTGGTACATGTCAGTTGACTTACTAAATTTAACCCTTTGACGACTTCTCTCTGTTTAAGATTGGTTTCTCCATCAAGATTGGCTGTTTCAATGTGGCATATAGAGTTAGCATCACTTGAGTTTAACAACAGCAAGTCAGCAGGGATGATCTCATCACTCTGCAGCTTGATGAAATCACCAACTACTACCTTCTTCCATGCTGTCTTCTGGTATTCATGTGTCTCACTGAAAGTGATAAAACACAATGACAAATTATGACTTGTATCAAATTATGACAATGACTTGTATCTGATTGAGAAAGGAAAAAAAACTAAGATACAAACAGTTTTCTATAGTTTCAAGTTTCAAGTTTTGTAACATTGAAGCAATTGGTTAGGCTAAAAAATGCAAAGTAAAAAGGAAAAAAATATGAAAAGGAGAGGCAAAGAAAAAAAATTCAAATACTGTAAATGTTAATGTCACTCAATAAAATTATTATTTGTAAGTTGATTGCATCATGTAAGGTTTAGCTTACACACGTCTCCTGGTCCCAGCTAACAGACAGCAGCAATTTGAAGGGAAAGATGGGGACAGGAGAGTGTGTGGGGTCTTCAAAGGGTATATTATTAGCTGGGCACATTAACCAGCAAATAGACTACTAGTGACTTAAACGGGAATCTTAAATTAGACAACGACAATAAACTAGCTAAGCTGTCCTTTCACAACCACATGACACTTGAATGTTAAAGTTTTAACCAAACAAATCAAAGAAAATACACTTAACAGATACATAAAGTGGTGTTAATGTTCATGTTAGTAAAGCAGTATTAATGCAATGGATGTGGATATTGGGCCATGATTTTCTGAAAGGCCAATATGACTGTGAGGAAATAATGACATTGGAATCTTTCTGTCTTGTCATCATACAATATCACTATAGAATAATTTTCATATGCCAATCACACAAATTTCTGATTGAAATAAAAGTCTCCTTAATTTAACACACAAAATAAAAAGTCACAACTTGAAAGTAAGGGATTCAAGTTGACAAATACATGTTATCATCGTTAATGGTAACTCTTAAGATAATAATTACTCTTGCCATTTTTATTCTGACAAACAAATATAATACCCTCTAGGTTCACTAAATATTACAAACTGTAGGAATCTTTTGGTAAGGTTACATTGCTATCTATTAGGACAGTCATCTATTACTGAAAGCTAGTCCAGTGGCTGGGAAAGGAAAGTATATTGTTAAAAGAGTAAAGTGAAGTGGCTGCAATACATCCTGTATATAAAACAGCTGGTGAATGAATATCGGGCCATTATATTATGAAGGGCTAATACTTCAGGAAAAAGTGACATTATTTTACGTCGCGTCATCGAGTAATGGTTGCACAAAATTGATGGATGGGAAATAAGACAAATTCCTTCATTCACATTAACTATCCACACATAAAGTCTACAGGAAAAACCTCTTTTCAACAGTAGATAAATTTATTCACATTTAATAAAGCCAAAAGTGCTTTGAATTGTGTCCCCCTTCCCATCTGCAAAAATTGAATATTAAAGTTATAAATAAAAGATTACTAAACAATAATAATAACAACAATTCTTACACGGGTACACATGTTCTGTGAGGGTTGTGCATACCATTTTATGTCATGTAGTTAGTAAAGTGTAGATGTACAGTGAATGAAATGTGACTTATATCGCAAATAAATTTAAAAAAACTAATGTTTAATGTTATTATTCCCAAGGGTCTGCATACAGACAACATCTGTTTGCTTTATGCTGCAAGAATATACATTGTATCTGCACACAGGCTTTCTTGATTATTAGTCATGCATTTTTCATACTGTAACTGCAAATTTTAAATTCTATAAATGAGGAAAGAGGCTTTAAGATCTGGTCATTTGCAGCAAGCCCCTATAGCTGCCCCATTTGCCTGTGGAATTTTTTTCATTGTTTTTAAACTTAAAAGCATTAAAAAATTCAAACAGGCAAATGAATTGTTACAAATTTATCTACTCCTGGATGAAATGGTTTTGTCTACCACAATGTAGAAGTGTAGAGGTTTACCAAATAATAAAATATACAATAACTAGATTACCTTTACCCATTCATGTATCTGTTGAGGGTGAATTTTATCTTTGGTTCAATTTTATTTTACTTTCTTTCTCGGCAGTGTATTAAACGCAAGACAATGATTTGCAAGGACAAAAAAATAACATTTGAACTCAGGGAGTAAAAATGAAAGCAAAAGTAAAGCTCAAATTGAATCAACTTTAACATCTTTTAATTGACTGTTTAAATAATTTTAACAAACTTCATTATTATTAAACCCTTCGGAGAACTTGAGAGCTTTTAAGCCCACGACTCATCGACAACTGTATGAAAATTACACGTTGACCAATGATAAGTAAATATAATTTTAAATATGAATATAATAAAGTTAAGGTTAATATCTGCACACAAAAAAGTGAAAGCCAAAAAAAACTTAAACCCATTAGATATATTTTTAAAATAAGTTTAACGAGAAAATTCTTACCTGTTGAAAACATAGCAAGTGCTGTTGTTCACTGCTTTATCTGATCTGTAACGTCTGCGATCTTCAAACAAATCTTTGATTGCGGTCACTGACAACACGAAAATCAAAGGCGCCATAGCGATGTATTTCCCAAATGCATTTATTTCTGGGATTAAATTTAAAATAACTATGACCAAAAAGTAAATGTTCGCGAAGCGATGAAACTGCTCGAATAAGTTCTTGGGAAGAAAAGACCATATTGAATATTTTGTAGTCTTGATTGCGTTGCCGCGGTTATGTTTGGAATGAGGGTCGCGAAGACGATCTTTAGTTTGAGCATGTTTTGGAACAACAAGCCTGTAGCGTTCCTTTCGCTCGCTTGTGCTTCTCTCTTCCATAACAAAACGAGCAATTTGACAGCATAAGAAAGCTTGGTAAGATATTCATATACGTGTTCAGTTGCACGGGGCCAAATCGAAATAAATGTATCAAGGTTTGCTGATGCAAAGTTCCTTCCACCAAAGCGGAAAATCGCGGGTCACGAAAATTCTCAAAACTTCCGTCACCCTGAGCCCGCAATCAACTCTTTCCGGACGAGATCGTTAAATCGTCGTAGAAACTCGGAGAGATCTTCCGAAGATACCTTCAATACCATGACCCTTCGCGCTCCTCACAAGTACCGGTTCCAGCAGACGCCATATTGTTCGTATTCCAACTTTTGACGATTTCTCCGTCTTTTTGGAGTTTCTTGTTCAAGATGGGAAGAAAATGGGGTGCGATTGGATGGTCCAAGAATATCATTACCTATTCCTTGTCTCCATTTGAGCAGCGTGCTTTCGCTGGGTTTACCAAGAGTCTCGCCAATTTTGTGCGACGAGTAAAGTGGCAGTTGCCTTACCAGTTACCGGCAATAATTACTGGAGTATTGATCTACAACTGGGGAACGAACGACTTCATACGAAGAAACAGAAAAAACCCAAAGGACTTTGAAAATGACGAGTGATTGACTCAAATTTGATGTGGATATCCTTTGCTATTTAAACAATATTCCGGACGCTTTTGCTTGATGTTGCATAACAAGACTGTAAGCCTTACTACTATTTGACTCTCTCATATCTCGTGAACTCATTAGGAAGACCTGTTGATTATGACTTAGTACACTGATTTATCTGGATCACTATAAGGAACGGAACGTTTACTGTAACCTCTTTGTTGTTGTTTTAAAGGAAATTTATTGCGTCTTTGTTGGCTTTTGATACCTCGCCATTTGGACTAAACTTTGTTAAAAATAATCTTGTGAATAAGAACAAATGGCTTATTTTTAATGCCGCAAAGTTGTGAGTAAAGAGTGGAAATTGAAGTGTGTCCATGTCAGTTAAGTTTGACAAATTAAATTCTTTTGGGTTGTTGTATTTTAGTCAAATCACCCATTTTTGTCCAGTAACTCCACCTTTTTGGGGCACTCACTCAATATGGCTTTTGTTACTTTTAGCTAGGAGACAGTCGTTCTATAGACGGAATCCACAAAGAGCACAAGTGCAATGATGAGTTGAATGCGATGAAAGAAAAACATTGCGTGTTCGACAACAAAGAATGAAAAAGTGCAAATACTGGTTATTCCTGAACACATCCTATAGTCGTGAATGATGAATATTGCATTCAGCACGTGTAAACTCATTTCTCAGTAATTTTTTTTGAATTTTTTGCTGACCCCTAGCTAAATGTAGCCAATTTATGATAGATTAGGTGAAATAAATATGTGTTATTCACCGGCTGGAAGGTCTGTATTGGGAGAAACTGTTCCCAAGGTCTTGAGTACTGCCCGATGCCATAGGGCGAGGGCGGTACTCAGACCAAGGGCACACTTTCTCCTAATATGGACCGAGCTAGGTCGGTGAATAACATTTTTATTTTTTTCCAATTTTCCTTCACTCTCCAACCTATGTGTGTTGAAGTAGGATGCGTTTGTGTTGATGAAGCGCGCGATCGATGGCAAACCAAAACAAAATATTACAACATAATTTTTAGCTTGGTAATTTATATTCTGGCACTTACTGCTCTCTTTTAGAATAAAGAAAGGCTTTTGTGTCTTGCAAGACAATTCATAATCTGAGTATCAAACAAGGATGAGCTTGATTTTCAAAGCGCCAGAAAATAAATACAGCAAGGATTTTCTTTGGCTGAATAATTCAAAAATTGCGAGTGGGATGAAAAGTGCAAAAAGACTTTGTAAAAAGAGCTAATTACACATACCAATTTTAAGGTTTTGAATTGAATTCGATTAAAAGGCGATGTGAGTAACAAGTAGTGAACAAAGAAATGAAAACAGCGATAAGCGACCGCTGGAAAAGTAATTCGCGTTGTTTAAGATTGAAAGTTAAATGCAATCATTGACAACAACCTTTTCTTGTAAGTAGAAAACTAGCCAGGCAAAATTCAATGAAAAATCGCAGAATCTAGATTCATACAGCAAAAATGGAAAACAAAACTACAAACAGAGCAAAAATGTCCAATAAACGGTGGAAAAAAGCAAGATTGCAGTACTTACAGTACAGTTATAAAGCTAGTGAAGCGACATCACGAGCCACCTGTTTTGCTTTACTTTAGCGGTTTTCCAGGCTGACTTGCATGATTCTTCCCTCAGATTTTTTGTCTGATTAATGAAATTCACTTTTCCCTAGCTAATGCTAATAATAGGGCAAGTTTTTAGAGAAGAATGGTCTGAAAATGACGGTTTTTGCTCATTCACAAACAACAAACAAACTTGTGAATGAAGCTACCAATGATTCCACCTGGGTTAGCGGGCAAGATCATAAAATACCGCCCGCTCTCAGAACCTATCAGATTGCAGGATTTGGAGGATTTCTGCTGGCAAGCTTGGAATAAAATAACAGGTAGATTACTGAAAAATGATTGATTTCATGTTTTTCCTCTTGCTGTACATTCTAGAATTTATTGGTGTATATGTTGTGGCTCAATTTTATCCTTGGTTTAAATTTTAATTTCCTTTGTTTCAAACTCATTATCATACATTACCATTCCCCAAAACAAAGGAAAATAAAATTTAAACCAAGGATAAAATTGAACCCAACTTACACATTTGTCACATTGTTGCATAAACTCGTAATTTTGCTTGGGCAATTAGTTAGTTTTTTCCTCTATAAGCAAAGATCCCCTACAAGTAATGAAAGCTCTTAATACGGACACTTCTGAGTGTTGCTTTTGTCCCTGGGGAAACCTTCACTTTTTTTTTTCATTTTTTTCTAAATTTAACCCACCAAATTTAGACACCCATTGATGTGCAGTGGTTCAGTGATGTTGAACTTAAGTTAAAAGTGACTATACAAATAGCTATGGTTTGTCTGGGGAGTCATCTTAAATCATCTTAAGTCCTAGTAGAGAATCAATGAGACCCAGTCCATAAACCAGGGGTCAATTTAATAAGACCTCTACAAGTGTGATTTTTACAAGTGTAGGCATTGTTTTCGTGTCTGAAAACAATAGCTGCACTTGTAAATTACACTTGTAAAAGTTTTATATTGACCCCAGTAGGTCCTAAGTTGAGAATGCTTAAGCCCTTATGAAACCAGACAATTACCAATAATCTGAAGACAGTTTTTAATACTAAAAGTCAGTTTTGCAGTTCTATTTTATAGCACAACAAAAACTAAAAGAAATGTACGTCAAAATAAAAAGCAACAGCCACATGGATGGTGATAATAATAAAGATAATACTTTATTGAAACTCCCAATCAGGGTTTTTCAGACCGAATGTAAATAAATATGTAAATAATTAATAAGATAAATAAGAAATAATGGATATGATATCTAAACGTTATTTTAAAAAGAAACATCAATGACAACAGGTAACTCTCCTAACCAACGGCATTTGTTTCGATTTGAAATTGAATGTATTCAAGCTATCTCAAGCAGTGATCTGGCACGTGGCAATGTTTTCCGAAGTTTAAGAGGTCATTTGCGTGATGACATTATTTATTATCTTCTAAGACCAGAATCCTTCAGGGTTTTGCTTTCTTGTGCAAATTAGGGCTTTTTTTAAACCTCAACTCTGGAAATGAGATTAAGGATTCAAAATTCTTTACAGTAAAATACAAAAGACAACAGGTAATAAAGCTGATGTTGACATTAAAATCTGATTTGTCAGACACTAAAATTTCAAAATGATCCCACTTAATGTTATGTCCGGTGGCATTGACGTAGTCTGGAATAGCCATATGGTCAGCAATAGCTGACAAGTGGTCATTTTTAGTTAGGGCCTTGAAGTGTTCAGTCTTCCCATGATGGAGTCGTCGCTTAATTAGTTTTGTCAATGTAAAAATCTTTGCAATCCCAGCAACTAGCTTTACAAATGACTTTGGAGCTTTGAGAGCAATTTAGGCGGTCCTTATATGGAAAGAAAGATTTAATGCGGCAAGTGTTTTGAAAAATTGTCCTTAAATTAACACAAGAGTAAAACTGGCAAATACAGGATTCAAGGTCTCTGTAGCATTTGTTTGGTTCCCAGCACCAACAGCTTGGTCTTGTCTTGGTTGATCAAGAGAATATTATAGCATGCAGCACCAATACGCTAGCTTCGATAAATCGTCAACAATCGGCTGGACAACACTGCATGCATCGTTGACAGAAAATGACAGACAGAGTTTTGAATCGTCAACGTATGATTCCAGGGAACGAAATTCTGGGGTGTTAGAAAGGTCGTTAAAGAAGATGGTAAATAACTAGGGACCCAGGATAGACCCCCGTGGAACTCCATGAGAAATGGCACCCAGGCTTGAGGCCTTAGCACTAATCCTGACGTATTGCTGTCTTCCTAACAAATAACTTCTATTCCAGAGCGGTACGACCAACACCCAGTGTCTTAAATTTTGCCATAAGTCTATGATGATCTGTCAAATGCCTTTGACAAGTCTACGAGGACTACAGGTGCCTTTTTGTCATCACAACATTGAGAGTTTCACGTGAATGCAGCTTCTTATTACCACTTCTGCTGTTCGGTCAGCCTTTTTTTGTTGCTCATGTACATAGTCAATTGATTCAGGGCTATTCGTTCGCAAACCTTCGATGCCACTGGGCGATTATTGTTGCAATCTTGTTATCTCCTTCCTTGAGTAACGGGGTGGCTGCAGAAATTTTCAGTCCGATGGAAAAACTGACGACAATGAGGACCGGTTCACGATGTCTGTAAGTACAGGTAAAATGTAAGGAACTGCATCTTTAATCACAGACATAGTTATCTCATCATGACGAGGTGCCATGTTGGATGACAAAAACATTATCATTCTACGGATTTCATGAGTAGAGACTGCTTGGAATTGAAATTTATCTGCTCGGAGGATTTCCGGATCTTTGGTATTGTGCACAAGTGGAGGCAGATTTGGAAGAATCACTGTATCAGATTCTTTAGCACCGACTAAAGTCTTCCTTAATTACCAAACTTAACTGGTCATCACTGCAAGAGCTAAGAACTCTAATTGATCTTTCACTTTTTTTAAGATTCAGTATAATTTAGTCTTTTTGCCCTTTTCTAGTGATGAGTTATC